ATACATGTACTTATGTTGCGTAGAAAGTTTGAGCTGATTCCAATCAAAATTGGATTTTTTCACAAATTTTTTAAAGTTTCTCTGAAATTGAGTCAAAGTCCCTGTACTATAGTACAGGGGGTTCGGTCAAATTTTGCCAAAAATGAAAAGGTGAGAATTCTCCATTTTTATAACATTTTCTGATGCATATGCATGTACTTATGTTGCATAGAAAGTTTGAACTAAATCCACTCAAATTTGGATTTTTTACAAATTTTTTAAGTTGCCAAAAATTGGGCCAAAGTCCCTGTACTATTAGTAACACGGTAGCATTACTAAGTAGGATTCACCCCACTTGAAAATGGTTGCCCTGACTTTTCCAGCCTTGCTATACCGGAAAACAAGCTCCTGAAGTTCGTTCCTGTAAAGTATCAAAATTGAATTTATTAGTATTTTAAACTGATACACAATTCCATTGCAGTACTTACTGTACACAATGTATAATCAAATAACATTATACCGTATAGCAGGAAATTTTGGAGGGAGTAAAATTTATCAAGTTGCTTAATCTTGGTGATTGGCGGATTTTAATTTGGCAAATTTGTAGCCACGTGCCATTGAGCATGCGCATAATGGCTCAAAATGGCGAATTTTTATTTTGGAGAATGGCTGTCAAAACGCCAATTTGCCAAATTTAATTCTCTCCAAAATTTCCCGCTATACGGTAGCGATTAAACCATAAGCATCATTTACAATGTATCGAGTACATTAAATGTGAAAGCACAATCAAGTATGCATGTAACATGTACCATGGTACGCCTTTTAAAACTGCAGCTAGCACTACAGTAGACTATAGTAATGCTTACATACTGAGGTAAATAGGCCAATGCCCACTGCCAAACTGTGATAATGAACACTCCCTAGATATGGGACAAACAAGGACAAACAAGATCATGAATTATATAGCAATAGATAAGCTATAGACTGCATAGACTATAATACTGAGGTAAATAGGCCAATGCCCACTGCCAAACTGTGATAATGAACACTCCCTAGATATGGGACAAACAAGATCATGAATTATATAGCTATAGATAAGCTATAGACTGCATAGACTATAATACTGAGGTAAATAGGCCAATGCCCACTGCCAAACTGTGATAATGAAGACTCCCTAGATATGGGACAAACAAGATCATGAATTATATAGCAATAGATAAGCTATAGACTGCATAGACTATACTAGTACAGTACAGGCTGTATAATGTGCATGGTTAACTTAACTACAATAACTCTTTAACATTTTATGAGTAGCACTGAAGAGTGGCGTTCCCAAGTAGCTAACCAATCAAACCTTGTCTGCTACTGACTGTCAGGCTTCATCCACTCCTCCTCCTTCTCTCAGTGATGGCTCAACGTACAGTGTACATTGCACTCCAGTGTCTATTTGGAGCCATTTTCCCACTCTTTATAGTAGTGCCAATGATAGTGGCAGGGAAGCTAAGAGGCTTTGCCAAACTAGTGAGGACAATGTTCCCATACATTAAGAGAAATGGTATGAACACTGTCATGTTTGGATTTATAATCAGTGATAAGTACATGGTAGTCCTTTTCATCATCATGCTCATTAATGTCTACTTCACCATGGCTATATTCTTTATAAACGTTTTCATCAAACAATCAAACGCCTATAACCCGTTTGAGGACTTTGACTGCTTTTACACAAACGGAGACGAAATTAATCCAGAAACAATTGAAGAAGCATTTGAGCTGAGAAGCAGTAACAGAATCATTGAGTGTTATGCATGGCAGTTGAACATAGCAGGGGCTGTAGGACAAGCAACAGCTACTCTGCTCTTCTCCTGGGCCGTGGTATCAGTGGTCACTTGGATTATGCTAAAAGCATACGAGAAGATGCTAAATAAAGAAAATGAGTTACTTTTAAAACAGAAAATTCGTCTAATTGCGCTTCAAGGATGTGTTTACCTAATACCTATTGGTTTGGGTATTTTAATTTCACTCCTGAAATCCTATAACATAATATCTACATTCAGTTTTTGTGAGGCACTAGGATTCTTTTTCATATTGCTTGTGTCTAGCATCGTGTGCTGGTGCTGTATAGAGATAGAACCACAAAAAATTGACGCAATCATTGAAAACTTAGTAAACAACAATATTCCCACGGAAGATGAAACTGACAAGGAAAAGGCAAAGGAGCTAATAGAAAAAGTTGCGACCCAAGAGTTTAACAAGGCGGTGGCAAGTAAAGTTGCTGGATACTTAGAGAATGAAGATATCAATGAAATAGCCAGTACTGCCTTTGATAAAGTGATACGTCAAGTTAAAAACGAGAATGAAGAGCAACAAGGAGATTCATTAACAGAGGGCAATCAGGGAAATGAGACCAATTAATATTAAGACATAAAAAAACGCTGCTGTAGTTAGAATACATTTTGTCTTTTATGTTCAAATAAAATAAAATTAGTTATGCTAACTAAACTCATAATATTATGAGTGAATGTGATAAATCATCAACTCATACACAAAGCATATAAATGGTCGCTAGTATACATGTACATGTACACACACCAAAATTCACTAAACAAAAAGGAGGGTAGGAGCAACACTCCCACACAATTAATTAAAAGGCATGCACTGCATATATTAATATTAATTGGAACTAAAAATAGATTTTTAAACCACACCTGTTTAAATTTTAACTCCTTATGCACCACAAAAAAAGAAAATGGATGTTTCTGTTATAGTTATTCATACTTCTGTAACAAGCAGTTACTATCTTCCAAAATTAGCTTACAGTCAATCATCAATGAAACAGAAATGATTCTTTAATTTACTTGCTATGAAAATACAATGTATTTGACACAAAGCTTCACTACATATACATGTAGGCAATAGCAAGAACTAATTACATGTACTTTCAGAAAGCAAACACCTTTATTAGGCATAAGGTAGCATTCAAAAACAATAATGTATGTTTATCATGTTTATATAAAAGAAACAGGTGTACATGATTTAACAATACATTCTAAGCTCATTCACAATCACAAAAACACAGTACTAGCACTACTATACTGTTGAAAGTTATGATTATAAGGGAAGCATGAGTACACAGTGTTATTGCTAATGTTAATGAACTGGATCAAAGAATGGACTATGCAAAAATAGTTTTTTAACATAGTGAATAATTCATGATACTAATGCATTGCAGCCCCAAAAATGGGCTATATAATCCCCATTGCCAAACTGTGATAACGAACACTCCCTAGATATGGGACAAACAAGATCATGAATTAGCTATTGGAAGCCATTGAGACACTACAGAGGAACTACATACCATGCACTGTATTAACCAGCTACCCAGTACTTGTATACACTGTACAATGTACTACTGGCTATAGACTATATGCTGAGAGACATCAAGGGAGATTGATTCATATAAGGAAGAGATTGTTAATGAAAAAGGAGAGAAGCTTAGAGACATTAATGATGAATTCTATAATAAGTCACAGTCATAAAATGTGTGGACTATAATAATGAACAATACATAGTAATGTACATGTACATGCATTAGGATTAAGTATGGAAACATTGTGTGTGTGTGTGTACATACATGCATGTGAGATCGACAAACACATATACATGTACATGTACACATAAGGATCTACATGTACATTTACAAAAAAAAGAGAATGAGAGAGATGAAAAGGGAGAAGAGAGTAAGAGACAGTTACAGTATACAGTGTACATATGATCCACTTATTATTAATATCCTAATGAGTATACATACACATAATGTACATGTACATGTACATATGCCCTTTTCATCGATTGGCTTCCGGTTGGACCTCCTCTCCACTTTCCGTCAGCTTATAAAGCACTTCAGGGACATCGCCCCTCATAACGCAGCCATCGGCACAAAAAGGACAATGGTATAACAAGATACCTTGATTGTGACTATAGAGCAAGCACAGACTCAAAACTACCTCCGATCTCTTTCTCTAACAGTACTACAGTGACAATACCAATGACAACAAGAGAAGGATACATAGCAGCTCAGAGTGTACTGGGACTAGTAGGCCCACTTATAGTAGTAGTTGGAATGTTTATAGCTGGGATGTGTCTCAAACCAAGTCCAGATAAGCTAGTGAGGATTATGTTCCCTTACATCAATAGACACGGGACTCAGACTGTCATGTTTGGATATGTAATCGGCAGGGTATATATTATATTCCTTTTCGTCATCATACTCGTAAACATTTACTTCACAATGGCTATATTCTTTGCACACGTCGTGATAGTTCGATCTGAAACGTACAACCCGTTTGGCGGGTTTGACTGCTTTGATGAAAATAGAAATGAAGTCAATTCCACAACAATGAGAGAAGCATTTGAGCTGAGAAGAAGTAACAGGACCATTGAGTGTTATGCATGGCAGCTGAACATGGCCGGAGCTGTAGGACAAGCAACAGGAACTCTTCTCTTCTCCTGGGCTGTGGTATCTGTGGTCACTTGGATTATTCTGAAAACGCACAAAAAGATTTCAAGGAGCAAATATAAGAAATATAAAGACCGCATACTAGGAGTCATCCAATTTGGAATATACATGATACCAGCGTCAATGACAGCAGGTACTGCAGTACTGAGATCTGTAAGATTCATATCGCTACTAAGTTATTTAGAGTTGCTTGCCTTCTGTATAATACTATGGGCGTCCACTATGGTACTTCATTGCTTCTTGTCAGAAGAACTGGACACCATTGAGGACCTGATTGATAAAGGGGTAAGAGACAGAGTTGATAGTGAACTGAGTAGTGGCTCAAATGAAGGAGTTGGTGAAATGATAACAAGAAAAGATATAACAACAACATATAAAGAGAACATAAAGAAACTGATAGGAAAAATGGCAGAAGTTGAATGCCAGAAAGCAGTGACTAACAAAATAGCTGTATATCTTGAGGAAGATTTGGAAACAGTTACAACTGAAGCATTTTCTAGAGTTAGACAAGGGATAATAAAAGAAACTGAAAGACCAGTTGAAGGGACCCAAAATGATATCAATGATGTACAACAAATAGAGCTAGTTGTACATTTAAATGGTGACACTGGAGAACAGGCAGGCAATGAAGAAGAAGAAGAAGAAGAAGAAAATGGAGAAATCCCTACAGTTATGTCAACGGAAGTTTAAAAATAAAAAAAAATTATAACTATAAAGAGTAACAAACTTTAATAGATAGATGTATTAATATTTGATTCGTATTTGCGTAAAAATGAAGGAATCAGTGAAGGAAGAGCAGTACCAATCATGCATGCAATGTACATGTACATATAAAGATGGACTCCTGACATAAATGAACCTACATGTACACTGATTAACTAAAGCAGTAAACAAGTTAGGAAATAGAAACCCTTAAGCCCAACATCCACTATGGCAACTTTGTTGAAAGCAACTTTGTGGTTACTTTGATGTATGTCAACTTTGTTGCCAAAAGTAGAACAGTGTTCTACTTTTGGCAAAAAATTTCTGTTGATTTCAACAAAGTTGCCTAGTGGATGTTAGGTTTTATGTACTCTTGATCATACACACAGTTACTTCCTCAAATTCCCTCAAGCAACTATTAATACATGTACATGTACACACACTACATATACATTGATGAACATGTATATACACATATAATGTGCATGTAATACAAAGTATAGTAACATTAGTAATAATAATCATAAGAGTAGGAGGAACCAGTCTGTATAAACTGAAACTCCCTCAAATTACAAGAAAAACCAACCATCCATTAGGGCTAATGTACCATACAATGTACTGAAGACACCATTACCATTATAAGTGTAAATGTACATGTATGTATGTACATGTACTTACATTGTCATTTCTAATAAAATATTGTACAGTATAGGATTGAGGATTCATTATACATTGTAGTTACTGATTTACTGAGGGCAAGAGAGTAAGAGAGAGAGAGAGGGGGGAAAGAGAAAAAGAGAGAGAGAGAGAGAGAGAGAGAGAGAAATAAAAAGAGAGAGAGAAATGACAAGACTCAAGGAAAAAGGAACATGAAGTCAGTACAGTTGCTACACACAACCAGTAGATGTATATGTACACATTAGGAACATGTAATCCATTCAATATGTACATGTATGTCACACGTCTAACAAGCCCCCTCCCCTCATATGCAAACCGATCATGATGGTATATCTCCGGATACCAATGGGAGGGTCATAAGTTAGTTTGAGAGGCTTCGTAGTGACACAATAGATTTAAAGGGGCTCGTCTAACAGCTAAAACCACTAGAGAGGTTTCTGTGAGCCAACGTTGCTATTTAGTTCTTGTACTAGCATGGAGAGGAGCACGTTAAGCACTCAAAGGAGCAGAAGATCACCATCACCACCACCAGGACCAGGACCAGGACCAGGACCACTACCTATTATAGGATTAGGTATTATCATTGTGGTCGGGATTGCTTTACTTAAATATGGCTTATCTGGTTAAGTAAAAGACATAAAACACTTTACATCAACATTTTTATATTAAAGCTAGTGAGTATGTGTACATTGTAATGAATTCTTGAGTTTAGGCCTTTTAAAATTTTTGTAACTCTGTAACTAATAATATATGCACAAAACACATTAGATGAGGTGCTAAGTACATACAACATTTAGTAAAAGTACATGTATTTACAATAAATTGAAATAAAGAAGAAAGTGAGCGCAAGAGTGCATTGAAAACAATGTCACTAATTATTTATTCATGTCAACGCGTCGGAAGGATCAACAAATGAATATCGACATAGAACCTATCAACAAGAGGGGGAGGGGAAGGAATGTGCTGACGAGAGGTTTTATAGCGTCACTGTTTTGCTACGTTGCAAGCTGACTAGGCATAAACAATAAGAAACAACACATTGAGTCCTTCGTCTTCTTGTTACTTGCTGGATCCTTATCATATCTACAAAGATGAGTGATGAAGCTGCTTGCTGTCTGTGCCTTGTTATTACTGGTGCTGTGATCATTTTTATAGTGGGGATTATCCTCCTTATATTGGGGCTAACAGGAAACTTATGATCACTTTAAGAATGGCTTGTGACTCTGGAACTATAACAAGGATAAGGAATGAATAAGGAGAGTAAGAGAATGTGGTACTAACTTAACTTCAATACATGAGCATTACACACACAATCAAAAATATTGCTAAATATAGTATTAATTGTCTCACTCCTTCAACATTAATTTTGACACTTGTGAATGCTGCATTATTGTTTCTACTGTTCATTTTATACTAAAGTTACTTAAATAATGTCAAATACAACAACTTTTCCAGGAGCGTAGGTTACTTGGCTAGTAGGAACATAATAGTATGAAGTACATTTATACTATGCTATACTGTAATATTACAATACATGAATCTACATCGGACCGTATCACGGGAGACAAGAGGAGGAGGAGCGATATGATAATATAATAGGGAGGAGACTAGGAACGATAAGAATCAGTAAGCAAGTCCTCCGTCTTCTAGTTACTAGCTCGCCCTTATTATCAAGAATGGGTAAATGTACGAAACTCTTTCTTGGACCAAATGAAGATTGCACAAGTTGTGATGGCCCTTGTGTCTGTGTTTGGATGGCTATCATTGGTGCGCTCATTGCAATTATAACAGGGGTTATCCTTCTTGGGCTAGGATTTACTGGCAATTTGTGATCAAGGGAACCAGCTGGGACAAGGACAAGGATAATGGGAGTAAGGCAACTCACATCGAGTGAAGCACATTCTATTGTTTAACTTAGTTTTTAAAATACCGTATTGCCACTAAGAACTATCAATTATTACATTAACAAATAAATATTACAATACTTGTGTATTAAACTAATCTCATTTCTTTATTGTACACTGTGTGTTAATAAATATTTTTCAATGTAAACAAATTTGCCAGAAGCATCTGCTGTGTACATAAAGAGCTGACAGTGAGAGGTATACACTCAAGAATACAATAACACATCATTACACATCTAATATGATTCACATATTTATCATAAAAAGATACTGCCTATTGGGGATGAAGTTATGGATGGGCAAGCACTTAATTTCTATACCCAATACAGAATGAACAACATTTAATACTGTGAGGAATCAATCAGTGTTAATAGCCTAAGTTAGTTTACTGTCCAGCTAACATTACTAGAGGCTGTTAGGCCACAGGATAAAGAACATTTCTACTACAGCTATAACATGTGTTACTGCTATAGGCTATGGGAATGTTTAGAGAAATATTTATAAGTCAGTGGTGATCACACATAAGTACATGTACATGTATGTGCACATACCAGGCAGTACATGAAACAGTACATGTACATGTATAGTAAAGTATTGGGCAAACTGATTATCAGTTAATGGATGAGCCATATAAGTGCAAGAGGAATTTAATGCATATTATTATTATTATTGTAATTAATCTAATTGTGATAATATTAATTAATTAATATTAAAATGGCTTACAATTTCCACTAGTGAGAAGACAGACGCCTAAAAGTTAATGAGCTGATTGACCTGAACTACTGAACCATACCTTGGAGTGAGGGGGAGAGAGAGGGGGGAGAGAAGGAAAACACAAATAAGAGAAAAACAATTACTCTAAAACCACACCCTAATGTACATGTATGTGTAAACAAATATATCAAAGGTAATTAATGATAGTATATCAATCAATCAATTGTACACATACAAAACTCACTAGCCACAACAAATAACATTACAATAATTATCAATGTAAAACTCAATATATAAAGTGATCAGTGACAGTAGTTGTATATCAATAGACAGTATCTCTTTAGACTCACTAGTCATTCATCATCTTAAGAACAGAGACTGGTGAAGTGAATGACCATCCAATCCATGGAACTTTTCCCGCATTCTTTGATAATTTGATTCTTCTTGTTCTTGAAGATTTTTAGAAACAATTAATTAGGGGGAAAGTGGGTGTGACGGTATTTGACCCACGTGTAACAACGTGGGTGCCATAAGTAGGTGTGGTGTGGTCAACATTTTTTGATTTCATGGCTAGGATTTCTATTCTATGTCATTTTGCATGAGATTTAGCTAAAGTCAGTGAGTCAGAGGCGTATTTAGGGGGGGGGGGCTGAGGGGGCTTGAGCACCCCCCTGGCCCCCTCATGGCTGGGCTCAGAAAAAATTACTCAAATCCTGGACTCTTGCATCACTACCAAGCCTCCTAACAAAGT